GATTAAAAGGTGAAAGAAACAGAAGTTTCAGCAACACATCTTTTTATTTTTTAGCTCAACTAAGACGCGGATTCCCAGAACCACACAAAAAAATGAACATATCTGAACTCGCTTGCTATAAGTCGAAAGCAAAGAAGAATTGGAGATGTGGTAAGACGTGAAGAGATTACATATGTGTAATGTCTACCTCCCAAGGACATGCTGGCTACTGAAAGTGGGGAACTTCAAACAGAACAAACTTTATTCCTAACAAACGAAAGCCAGAAGGACGATATTGGGTATGGGAAACGGCCGGCATTAGCATAATGCCATTGCCGCCACAACTCAGAACTAGTATTATGATAATACAGAACCCTTATCAATTCTAATCATATTATTTTAGATTTAAAACTTGAGTCTCAAGGCAGGATATCTGCACATCACACTTGGGTGTGCCATGCGGCTTACTTAAAATAATTGGCCAACGCACGGGCCGCCCCTGCGAAGATGCGTTTTTTGCATAGTTTCGCGCAGTTTTTGTCGCTACCAGCATCGGTTTTTTCAGCAAATGATTCTAGCTGAACAAATTAAGACTGGCCGTCACAGCTGGCAGGAAACAGCCCCTCAAAGTTTCAGCTTTCTAGCTTTCCTGGCTCATCAGTTATCACCTAGTTGGACGGGGAACATCCCCCTAAGATTTCAGCATTCTAGCTTCTCAGATCTCCGAGTTATGGAGTTGCCCAAAAAAAAATTTTGGCGGGCTCATGCGCGGGCACCACGCTTACCCGGGGGTTGGGTTTCAGTGCATTAACACCTGCTTGGATGGGGAACACCCTCCTAAGATTTCAGCGTTCTAGCTTCTCAGATCCCCGAGTTATGAACTTACCCCAAAAAAACTGTCGGGCCCATATGCGGGCACCACGCGGGTGATGGCACTAATTTTGGGGATTCGGGCCGGCACGTGCATGCAGATTAAGTCCCCGAAATTTCAGCCCTGCAGCTTTTATAGTCTTGAGATGAAAGTGCGTGACAGACGCACAGACTCAGAGACACATGGACACACAGACAACCCCTCGTCAATATGCGTTTTGGCATTGCGCAGCTGCAAAAAACGCATAAAAAAATCTTCACTCCTTACTCTTATTTGCCAATCTTTCCTCATCTTTCTCAAAAACGCACGTCTGAAAGAAAATGAGAGGACATACAAGGGCAAGTGATGCACTGGTGGAGTGCACATTGTAATCCGGATGCTTGTCCAGCCAGGATGAAAGATTCTTCAAAACTGGCCATTTATCGGCTGGCACCAAAGCACCGGTGGATCGATGGAAAACAGCAACTGGTTGTTCCGAAAAGCTCATCGATGCCAGTGAAGCGGCAGCAGCAGCAGCGGCAGCAGATGAAAGAACGCCGCTGCTACCGCAACTGTTTGCCGCTGCTAATGAGCGAGGAATTTCGCCAGGCTCCAGCATCGGTGTTGCTGCCGTTTTTGATGAACTCGGCGTTGTTTGAATTGCGGATGTTTCCTGCTAAATAATTTCGTGTAAACCATAGACATATTTTGATATAAAAAGAAATTAACAACACTGCTTAAATTTATTAGCATCAAGTTCAATATGCACCGAATTAAGCCTAAATCAAATGCATCATTTAAAGTTACGGTCAACGATGCTTTGGAAAGACATCTTAAGTAAGTAAAAGAACCCACGAGCCGTTTAGGCCCTGCGGAAGAAAGGAAGTAGGAACCAATAAGAGCTGCACCGGTACTGGATGACTCTGAATAGGCCGTCCATAGGACGGCAACGATTTAAGCCTCCCCATAAAATGCAACCGTTCTATGCCCATTTACTTCCACTTTCTTTTTCCTATAAAGGAACTTAAGGTTTTCTCAAACAATAAAACCGTGGTTGGGACGCACCAGGCTTCCCGGTGTGATCATATTTTTTCGCATCAAACTAGAAGCAGTCAGGTCGCTAGCTGCATGAATGCTTGTTGCTTTACGTTTAGTCTGTGTACTCACTAGCACAAATCATTATAAATGCTGCATAAAAAAAATAAGAACTGAATTGAGCGATCGTCCACTGGAATTATCTAGCTCTTCAGTGGGCAATTTTCCCGCCAAAACTTTTACTTGCCCGCAAGTGAGAACCGCGCATACCCGGACAGCATACAAGTTTACATGATCGATGCGCACCCTCTCAAAATTTCAGCCTTCCAGCTTTCCTGGTTCTCAAGTTGGCAATTCCTCGCCAAAATTCTCACATACTTGTATGCGGGGCTCAGGCGCGCGTGAAGCTCGGTGCCGCGGCGGTCATCGGATGGCGCTTTGCCGGAAAATCGATTGGCAAAACTCCAATGCCGGAACTTGCGCGGCTATCCAGTTGAAATACCGAAACGCGCGCACGCACGCACGCATATATCATGGGTCGTCTCAAGATGCATTTTTGCTGTACAGCGCTAAAGCGCAGCTACAATACTGAGCAAAAAGCATACTGCCGAGAGGTCGTCCACGTGTTCGAAGGCGAGTGAACTTTATTACTAATTTTCAACTCAGCAACAAGGAAAACTAAAGGTTGGGAGGGGAATGAAGTTGGGGGAGGAGGGCTGAAATGTCAGGGCCATACTCTCACCTTATGTGCCATCTTCCCGTTTCATATTTTTCGCTCATACACGCCTAGATCTTGCGCACGGGACCTTCACAAAAATATACACATTTCTTCGGCGGGGAGCTATTTCGTGAACCAGACAAGACAGAAAGCTGAAGCTTTGCAGTGGTATTCTTTGTACGTGTATGAGCTAAAGATTTCAAATTCAGATATCGCACACGCTTATGCCACGCATAGGACCACATCAAATTTTGCAGCTGATAGCGTGCCAATCCGAGCGTGCCAAGCCCGAAAACTAACCGGAAAATACTAGCTGAAATCTTGTTAGAACATTTATTATTCATATGGGAAATCGTACAAATTAAGTTTCGATTTGTACCTGTGCCACGATTCAGGGCACTTTAAAGATATTTGTAAACAAGCTGTGAAGTTGAAACTTTCCATGGATATTCTATGTTCACGTGTGGTCTTAACTGAGCTTGGAGATGAAATTTCCTACACGCAAACATGACAAATATTCAATTTTATTGTAAAATCAAAAGCTAGTGCATTTTTTAGATTTCATAATCCTCTTCCAACTTCCTTCAAATTTGCATATTTTCAATGAACAAGCATTCGCCGGAAAAATAACTGGGCTTCATGCAAAAAACAGATAATCATGCGCGCTGGAGGTCCACGTAGCTTATGCTCCTTCTCTCTATATGCGGGAAGAAGTTAAAACGCAGCCAGTATGATTAAACTACAGCGCAGGAAACATTCTCGCTTCAATGATTTGCAAGTTTAGTGTAAAAACGCATGACCGCATCAGCAAGTCTGGTAGATTGCAATTTGAGGTTCCATTTGCATATATGCAAAAACACAAAAACTACCGCTTTACCAATGAGCAGCTGCCAAATGGCTAAATATTGAAGTAGTATCAACAATACTGCAAAACATCTTTCCAAACGAACCTTGATCGGTGGATCTTTGCTATCTTTGCTCCCAGAAGCTTTCTCCAACGCTTTCGAAATTGTCTTCGTTTCACTTTTTTCGACAGATTTCGGATGTGCAGATTGTGCAGATGTCGGCATAACAGTTGGTGTTGTTGGAGGAATATCAAGGATAAACTTCGGATGTGCCGTCAACCACGGCCCAAGATTTTTCAATTTTGGCGCTTGCTCACCAACTAATCTCGCACGTGTCTCGACATTAACCACGGGTACGTGAGTTTCTAAAAGGAGCAGAAGTTTCGTTTGAAATAAATTTCGAAAACTGTTACAAAGACAAGCATTAACAATTTGTTGATTCAGTTATGAAGCAAATATGTCTGCTACATAATAAGACAATCAAGACAAAAAATCTCCATTACAAGCAGATAAGCAATTCTCAGACTTGAGCTTTGATATCCATAAATTTTGCTTTTCAGATCTAGATCTGATACGCCCCAAAAATCTCATTCATTTTGTCGCTTAACTATACTGGACTGTTTTCATCCACGCATCTACCCATTTTGTCAGTCTTCCCAGATTCAATGCACGCATTGCATTTTTGACTTTGCAGCTTTATCCCAAATAGACGGAAGCCGGAAGGTCGATACTGGGTATGAGAAATGGAGAAACTGCTAGATGCATACCAGTGACGAGAAGTAATAGTGGATTAAAAAAAAAGAGCAATTATGGAGTGATTAAACTGGATAATAAGAAATTACGCTCTGAATAAGACATTTCGCTCTAAACATTTCTTACCTATAACAAATATTTCTTTAGACCCCTTTCCCATTTTATTATCCTTTTCCTCCTTTTCTTTGTTTTCTTCTTTTCTTGATATCTTCTTTTCAACCTTTAACCTTTAATTTCCAAGTTCCACGGAAAAAGAAAATGATAACTGGATCTAGTCCAACAAAATTTCGTAGGTGAAAGTCACGCTGCACATTCGTAAAGTGATTGCTAACTCATCGCTTTCTTCTATGCTCAAAAATAAGCAGGATGTAGCAGACCGGTTGACTTTAGAAACCCAAATGATGAAGGCGGGATAGATTATAATATGAGAGGAGATAAGAGTGAGATAAGACATTTCGGTCCATTAAGTCATATACGCCTTAACTCAACACCGCGACAGTACTTCGTCAGTATGGAAAAAAGGCTACTGCACGTACCGATGCAAAGCAGTTACAAAACAGCGTATAAAGGTAGCACTTTAATGTCACTAAACGCTGACAAATCAAACTCCTCGTTCGAAGTTGTAAGGGGAGAGTATTTGTGTCTTCAAAGTAAAACAGGACTGACCTGGCGGTAGGTTTGCCAAAGCGAATAATTCGGTGATATTCAAATTATTCAAAATATTTGCTGCTTGTTCCGACACCATCGATGTTGATGGTCGATCCGCGCTGCTGGTGCCAGTGGAGCTACTCTGAGACTTCTTTGTGCTCAGATTTAATACATCTTCTCCATACTCTTGCTTTAAAGCACTACTGCTGGCACTGGACGTTGGCACGGGTGCAGCAGGTGGCAAAGAAAACAACGCGGAGAGCATAGCTGCCTGCGCTTGAGCTGCAGCAGACGATGAACCGGCGCCACTTGACAGAAGCGATGGAAGAAGGAAGCCGCCACTCTGTGCCACTGCTGCTGCAGCAAACGGAAATTGCTCCAACTGAAAAAAAAAAAAAAACAAAAAGAATATCAGGAGAGTCGAAGAACTGCCTTAACAGATACTATTTGGAAACACTAAGCAGCCTCGCCTCAGTTCTACATCTGCGTTTCTGTCTGTTATCGATGTGGCTGTCAGCTTTCCTATTTCTCTTTGTGGCGGATCACCCATCCACGCGATCACAATTTTGCATTCAAATGGGTCCTCCTGTTGCAGTGGCGGCCTCTCATGTGTTACTCCGATTGTCCAAATCACTTGTATACAGCAGAAAGTGGCACTAAAACCTGCCGTGTCCAGAAATGGTGATCTACCGCTGTTGCGAATCTCCTGCGTTGTCTCCATTTTCCTCAGTTTCGCTTTTTATTCTGCTTCCATTTTCGTTCTCGATTCATAAAAAAAGCCGCTTTCGTAGCTCTTCTTCCACACAAAACAGAAAACTTGGCCAAAAATTGCAGTGAAACATCAGCAAAATGACCATTATATGATGCAGCAATTTCGAGAAACAGATACTGCACAAACGCTGTCGTGTAATCAATACAACCTCTACTTTAACTAGACAAA